TATAAATAGAAATATAACTAAAAAATATTGTGGACTGAATCAAACAGAGTGATTTTGATGATATAAATAGAAATATAACTAAAAAAAGCGAGTGGTTTTGATGATATAAATAGAAATATAACTTAAAATTCAAACGGAATTAGTAAAGACATTTTTTTAAAGATTTTTTTGTCTTCAATGAGACAAGGAGTTTTTCCTGATCAATTTAAAATATCCAAAGTTACACCGATATTCAAAGGAGGAGATCTAACAAATGTTAATAACTATCGCCCTATATCTGTTCTTTCAGTTTTTTCAAAAATTACAGAAAGAATTATGTATAACAAAATTTACACACATCTTACAGACAATTATTTGTTATTTAACCATCAGTATGAATTTAAAAAAAACAACTCTACTGAACACGCGATTTTCCAATTAACACGTAGTATCGCTGCATCTCTTGAAAAATCTGAGTAAATCTTTGGCATCAACCACGAAATTCTTTTTAAAAAACTCAAACATTTTAGTATAAAAGGAAATATTCTTAAATCATTAAAAAGTTTGTTTAAACAATCGCAAACAATGTGTATCTATTGGCGCTCCTTTACCAATGAATTTGCTAAAGATTACCTGTGGTGTTCCGCAAGGATCAATTACCAGACCTTTTCTTATTCTCATAGAAGTAAGCGGGACAACATGACGAACGTTTTGAAAGCCTTGAGTATTGCAAAACTATTAGTCACGAAGCAATAACACTTTCTCAATATGTTTATATTATTAAAGTGATTCATTACCTGCATGAATTTTTAGTTTGCAAATGTAACAACTCAAAATAAATATTGAAATAAAAAGTTCATAAATTTGTCATCTGGTCACGTGACCGGGGCAGGATAACTTATTATGCAATTTCAGCCTCCAATTTTATAAAATTTTAAAAACTAGCAACAACTCTTACTAAAGTAACATTAAATAAACTCACGACGCATAAAATTACTTCTAAAGAAGTTGCACCTGAAAGACTCCATCCATTATCAGAAACCGAAACCGAGGTATTTTTTTTTAAGTGCAAAAAGTAAACTAAAGCGTATAAAATTGTGTTAATAATATTAAAAAAAAAAAAAAATAGTGTTTTAAAATACAAGATGCAAATTGGTTTTCCCCCAATTTTAAGATTTTTTATTGAGTTGTTATATGAAAACTCATCTTGCTATATTCGCCATGTTGTCCTGCTTTCCCCTAAATATTAACGATCTTCATAAAGTATCCGGAATAAAGACAATAATATTTGCCGATGATGCAAACCTATTTTTATCTCATAATAACATCCCTATGAATCTCGAATTAAGCAAGATTTATTATTGGTTTAAATCAAACAAATTATTGCTTAACATTAAAAAAATTAGTTGGATTTTCTTTCATACACCTTCTGAAAAAAATTAATTCCTAACAAAATGCCATCTCTTTTCATTGATAATGTTGAAATAAACAGAGTAAATGTTACAAATTTTTTAGGTGTTTATATTAATGGTAACCTTAATTGGAAAATTCACATTGAAAATTTATGCAACAAAATTTCAAAAGTATAAGATAAGAAGCTATTTGAATAAGAAAATTCTAACTCATTTATATTTCTCTTTTATTCACAGCCATATAAACTATGCAAATATTGCATGGGCTAGTACCAATAAAAGTAAACCTGAACCTTTCATCGTCATCAGAAGCACATGGCACGTTTAACAAATTTTAGTGAACGTTTTACCCATGCAAAAACTCTATTAAGAAAAATAAATGCACTAAATATATATCAACTTAATGTTTTTAATGTACTATGTTTTATGTTTTTATGTAAAGTCAATTCTACCCGGGTTTCTTTTCACAATTTTTATTTGTCAAAAAATAAAAATTAATACACTCTACGCAATAATTTTATTAAGCAGCCATATTTATTGAGCAGCCATATTTTCAAAGAAATTATAGTAAGTTTTGCATTGCTTTTCGCGGACCATTTTTATTGAAAAAAATAGTTTTAAAAAATTTTTCTAAAGTTTTTATTGAACAATATAACTACAACTCATATAAATGAAAACTTAAAGAATTTTTACAATTGATGATTTGGTAATATACTTTTAATATATATATATATATATATATATATATATATATATATATATATATATATATATATATATATATATATATATATATATATATATATATATATATATATATATATATATATATATATATATATATATATATATATATATATATATATATATATATATTATAATTTATATATATATATATATATATATATATATATATATATATATATATATATATATATATATATATATATATATATATATAATATATATATATATATATACATATATATATATATATATATATATATATATATTATATATATATATATATATTATATATATATATATTATATATATATATATACTGCTTTTTCTATTATTATTTCTCAAAAAGCATATGATTTCTATTGTAAAAATAATAGAATACCAAGTGTCATATCAGAGTCTATTAATATTGCTACAAACTATTCTTATTCTTCATTTCTTACTATGTGCGCTCTCTCAAGTGTTATTGGAATGCAAGTTGAGTCATATTATCCTTGTGAAAATAATACAAAAAAAAGTAGAAGAGAATATTTATGAACGTTTTTTAATTGCACTATTAGACCACGTGTTGAACACTCTTCAATATATATATGATGTTGGGCTCTATGTAACTTATGGAATTAATAAATTGAACAATTAAGAAAAATATGATTTACTTAAAAATGTTCATAAACTTTTCAATTCTCTTGTCTCTCTTTGTTCTCTTGGCTTGCATATTCAAAAAATAAAAAAGGTGCTTTTTATGTTAATTGTGTCATTTTCGGATCTGAAGAATCAAGTCGTAATGCAAGCAAACTAAATCAGTTTTATAAATCTGCATTTGTAGCATATTCAAAGGTCATTAAAAAATTTTATAAACATGCTGAAAACCAATTCACCTAAATGCAACTCTTAAGGTTACTTATTTTTGCCAATGGAACAAAAGATAAATTTTATTGATTTAAATGGCAACAAAGTAATTGATGAACAAGGCAGGAAAAATAGAAAAATATTAAAACCAATAGTTCTGTCAATTATTATGTGTGGCAAGCAAAAAATACCTCTCCGAATTCACCAAAATGATTCTTTTTACTATGAAAATAAAAATAATAACTAAGGTAATCTTCATGTAATTTTAAAATTAATATCTACTTGCGCAGAAAATGATTTGGTCGATGGGCAAGTTGTTACTGTTCCTAAAAATGCTACATATTGATCTAAAACTGCTCAAAACGAGCTGATAGATATTTGTAATGATGTTATAATTTCAAAATTAACATCTGAAGTTAAAAAAGCAAAATTTTTTTCAATATTAGCAGATGAAGCACCTGATGTTAGCAATATGGAGCAAATGTCACTTGTGTTGCGTTTTGTAAATAATAATTGTGAAGTTTGTGAATTATTTTTTGGCTTTATTCCATGTGATTTAGGCTTGTCTGGAGAAGCTATGGCAAACCAAATTTTGAACACTGCTAAACAGTTAGGATTAGAAATGAAATTTTGTGTTGGTCAAGGTTATGATGGCGCTGGTAATATGGCGGGGAGATATTCTGGTGCTGCAATAAAAATAAAAACTATTTATCCAAAAGCACTGTATGTACACTGTGGGTCTCATGTTTCTAATTTTTGTGTTGTAAATGCCTGTAAATTACAAGTAGTCAGCAATATGATGGCAAATGCGCGTATTGTATCTCAGTTCTTTAACTTTAGTCCGAAGCGTTTTAATACTTAAAAAAAAATATAGAAGAAATGTTTCCAGAAGCTCGTCATTCTCGCCTCATTGATGTATGTCGTACAAGATGGATTGCAAGAATTGATGGTCTCGATGTGTTCTTAGAGGTGCTTTCTGCTATTCTCAAATACTTTGAGATAATGATAAATAATGAAGAAAATCTTGCAATCATGATTCTGTGTGTGACGCAAATAATTATTTCTCGGCCACTAGATTGTTTCAATTTATTTTTACTCTAGTAGTTGTGTCTCGCTCTTTAGAGATAATAAGACCAATTACGAAACAATTTCAATCGCCAAACGTTTTAGCGTCATATGAAAAAGTGACTCTGTTACATGTTTGCCTTACAGCGACTAAAATCAGACATAGAACACAGTCATGGTGCTTGGTATAGTGAGGCAGTAGTATTGGCAGTTAGTGTTGGTGTTAATAAGCACAAACCTCGTATAATAGGAAAGCAACTTAATCAAAATAATTCTTCTGGTAAATCGATTAATGAGTACTACAAGACCATATGTCGTTTCAGATTCAGTTACGTTTCTCCAATAAAAACATTGCTGTTTATAATGGATTTTTTGCAATGCCCACTGACGTTTTAAATGCTTCTGAATCAGGAAAAAAAATTTTATTCTTTTTTTAAATGAGTATGATGATGATATTTCTGAACCACTCTATATCATGACTGAATTAAATATGTGGTAAGACTAATGGCGTAATTTTAAAAGTTTTCTTCTAAAGACTCTATTGAAACTCCTTCCTCTCATTAATAAGTTTACCTTTCCTAATATATTCACCTTAATTCAAATTTTTGCTACTATTCCAGTAGCAACGTGCACTTGCGAAAGATCAATCTCAGTTATTCGTCGTTGAAAAACTTACCTGCGTAACACAATGTCACAGAATAAATTTAATGGTCTTGTTCTAATGCAAATTCATCAAGATATCAAGGTTGATGTAATACCATGTTCACACTAGCGATGTTCGGCGGAATATTATTCCGGAACAAATGTTCCTGGAACAAAATGTTCCACAAAATGTTACTTGCAGCGTTCACATGTAAAATTGGCTTGACGGTACATAAAAGAAAAAACGAGTAAAAAAACGGTAAGTAAAACTCCAATAAAAATTAGTGACAAACAGTTTGGCAAATACACATTGTTAATATAATTTATTAATTTTTAATATTTAATCATTTATGAGAGGTAAAACTGAATGCAAATAACGCTGAGGGTTCAGCTAGCTCAGAGTTAGACAATAGAAACCCAATCCAAAATACATATTATACAAAAGGTGACGTTGGAATTTTGTTATCCCGTTTCTTGGCTTTTATGTATAGGTCATATCTCCTTTAGTCGCTTTTGACGACACAGAATAGTAGTTCATCAGTGGTATAGTACCGAATAAACATATTATACATTAATAAGTTACCCACGACCAGTTAAAACTAATCTCATTTTGTGTTCATACATATTTATTTATTTAGACACATCTGATAACCTCAAGGAAAGTAAGTTTAGTTCAAAACTACTAAATACATAACCATATTACAGCTAAAGCTTTAAATAATAAATAATATTATTACTATTTTACTTGTCCCTTTCATAAAGGTATTTAGCAATTGAGTCACGAAAATTTTTTCCTGGTCCATTGTTCCCAGTTGTAGAAACTGTATTGGGTTGAGCTAGACTGTCATCATGATGATGCATAAGCCATTCTATTATAATAATATCGTCATAATATTCACAAATGTTGTGGAGAGTGACGCAAGCATTAACAATTCTTGTAGCAAAGTTAATATCGCATTCCATACGTTTGCAAATTACACGGAATCGAGCTCTAACGCACCCAAAAGCATTCTCAACTACTCTTCTAGCACCGCAAAGTATTTTATTGAAATTTTTTTGAATTTCACTAAGCTCCAAATTTTCAGGATAAGGTTTTAACAAATGACGCGTTAAAGGAAATGCTGAATCACCTGTCAAACATAGCGGAACAAGAGAATCGCCCAGCTCTTTACAACAAATAGGTTTGATTCTAAAATTGCTTTCAAAGAAGAATTCTGCAAAATATAGCTGTCATTATTTCTACCAGGCGATCCAACACTTGTATAAATGAAACGGTATCGACAGTCTACAACGGCAAAAAGTACAATGGAATACCACCCTTTATAATTATAATAAGAAATTGCTTGATCTTTAGGGGCTGAAATAGGGATGTGGCATCCATCAACAGCTCCAACGCATTGTGGAAAATCAAGAATATCTTTGAAATCTCTACTATGTTTATTTAAATATTCCACTGACAATGGAAATTTAACATATTTAGGGAGCAAAATGTCATTAACAGCATTAATAAATTCATGAACAATTAAATTTGCTGTTGACTTTCCTATGCCAAAAAGGCTAGACACAACACGAACATTACGATACTCTTCACATGAAGCTAGATAATGTAATGCAACTGCAACACGTTTTACTACTGAAATAGGTTCTCGCATAGTTGTGGTAGTTTTGCCTAAATGTGGATGCAATTCATTAACTAGGAAATTAAATGTGTTACGATTTACTCGAAAATGCTCTTTAAGTTCACATTCCTCCATTTGAGTAAAAATCTCATTAAACCATTGAGAACTTTTCTTTCAATCAGATACCCTTGTTGATTTAACTTAAAGGAAGCTAAATCTAAATATGAAAATGGGTGGGTGATTGATTCATCATTGATTAATGTTCTACTTCTTGATTGAAGTACGGCCAAAACGCTTTCCATGTTTTTGCAATAGCTTTTTCCTTTACAGATGTCTCCCTAAAAAGCTATTAAAACTATATAAATATATTAAATAAATGTAATACTTATTATATTACAATTCAAGGGAAATTAAAACACATTTTTAAAAACCATTTTGTTAGAATTGATACAGCATGATCTGTTAACAAAAACAAAAATGAAACATGTAATGCAATTTGTACAAATTAAAAACAAAACACGTTGGCAAAAAACATATCACTATAATTCATCTACAGGCTCGCTTCATATCGCAAAAAAAAATTATTTGGTAAAAATACTAAATATATATAGCATAGAGATACAAAAAAAGGTATTTATAAAAAAACATGACAAATTTAAAAAATACCACCAGATATGCATTTTAAGGCTTGAAATCACAAAATATTTTTATTTTACATAAATTAAAAATTCCTTTGATAATAGTAATATGATAACATGAAAAAATATATATAAATAGAGCTTCATCTACAAGCTTGTACAATATTTCACTAACCATCTCTTTAGTTAAAACATTGAAAAACCTTATGAAATATATATTGCATAGAATTATAAACAAGGTATACTGTTGAAAAAATACTGACCTTTCAACTTTAACATAATTACTAAAAAGATATCTTGACTAATAGAACACCTTATTTTTTTATTAAAAATTTATAATATTCTATTTGGGCTTTAGACACATCTACTTGGGCTTTAGATGCATTTTCAATTGCATCGCAAATACGCTCTAAAGCAACAACCTCTCTGATTCGTAGCTCTTGTGAACGGATTTAACATCTAGATTTTTATTTGCTATTTTTAAATATTCAGAAGAAAATTTTTTTTTTTTATTTTTTCTCACTGGTTCAGTTTTTGCTATTTTATTCAAAGTTTTTTCATCATCAGAGTTCCTTCGTTTATTGCAGCCGGATGTAGATTAAGTTGGTTCCTTATCAGGAATATTGACAATTGATTGCACATCACTTGTATCATCAAAAGCTTCAATATTTAAAATACTGACAGTCTCCTTACCATCTTCCATTGTGGCAATCTGTAAATAAAATATACACATTAAAAAAATTACACATTTGAGAAATGATTATAAATTATGTTTCAATCAAAATTTATCTCTTGACTTTGAAAGACTTGACTTGAAGTCATTTTACTTCCTTCCTTCCCTAAACAAAAAGGATCTATTTAGAAAATAGCATTTTACAAATTGATCTAGCCAATATTAAAATATCCCTTTTATAATTCAAAAACTTTATATTATATGTTTTTGATCTTTATGTTTAAAATGCCAAATGTTGCAAAACTAAGAACCTCTTAAACCTTATTTTGTAGAAATAGTTAACACGCTTGTTTATATTACTTTAAAAAATATATAGCACTTTAAAATATACAACAATAAATTATACTAAACTTACCTGACCATCTTGAAAATCTAGAGTAGAAAAGTTTTGACTTTGAGATAAAAGGTCATTGTCAAGGGAAGCTTCACCACCTATTATTTTGGCAACAATATCGTAAGGCCACCATTTACTAGGAGCTCCTCCCGATGAACCAACTTTGTGATAATAGCTATATATATATTAAGTAAATACAGAATATTTATGAGGAAAATACTAATGGTAATGTTCACAAATTAATATTACAAGATAAGACAAAGCTAATATAATAAAATATATGTGACATATAAATAAAATATATGACAAAACTCATATATAACAATATATACCAACAATAATATCATTAATAATATTAATATAAATAATAATAACAATGATGATAATAATGATAATAATATTAACAGTTGTTATTGTTGTTATTGTTATCATTACTATTATTATTATAATTATTATAATAATAATAATTATTATTTTTACTATTATTATCACTGTTGGCAAGGCCAATGATAAACAACTCTGCTTATTAGTTCAAAGTTGAATTTTATAAATAAAATTACTATAAGCTTATTAAAAATGCATTAATAGCAATGCTTGCAAAGAATATAATTAAATAAAAACTATTAAACAATGAAAATAAAACTTTCTTAACGCAAGTTAAATGTTACCTTGAATTATACTTCTTATTAATTCAAATTAAAACTGATCTTAATAAGAATAATACTGTCTTTGTAATGTTATATTTTAAGATTAAGTTTTTAAACACACATATATAACTTTTTTTTAAATTAATAATACGCTAATAATTAAATTTCTATTCTATTTATACAAATTTTAAATATCGTTAAAAATAACTTGAAATTTGTGATGGTCAAATAATTGTTTTTAAATAATTGCCCACCATCTTGTCTACTCATGATTGATCTTACACGAGTAGGATCGGAATTTCCTTGCTTGCATGAAATTACCACAAGCTTTTACTCAATGAATAAAGATATGAAATTATATTCGAAGAAATGTTTTGAATTCAATAAAAAAGATGGAAGGCAAAAACTAAAAGTTTCAAGGTAACATGTTGAAAGGCAAATAGTATATCGATAATCTTGTCTTGATATATGACCAAGACCTAGGACAATGCAGAGATCAAGGACTAAAAACTCTGGTTAAGATGACAACAACTTTGTAAAAAAATAGTTTGAATTAGTTTCACAACAAATTTGCATCTTGCAATTCATTTTTATTGAATCATTTAGCTTATATGCATACGCTTATTTTAAAAATAGTTGAAAATAGGCACCATTTTTATACAAAACCAAATAAATGTTCCGGAACATTTATTTGTTCTGGGTTGGCGGGACGGTACAAAAGTTCCTCAAATGTTCCTTGAATTTTTGTTCCGTTTGCGTTCAAACGAGAGGATATTTGTTCATGTTCCATGTTCCACGGAATGTTCCATCAAATGTAACCTCGTGTGAACAGCCTATTAATGAAGTAGTTGAATGTTTTGCCAGGAAAAATCCTCGTAGGATTCAGCTTGATTAAAATCTTTTTAAACAATTAAATTTAAAGATTAAAATCTTTTTAAACAATTTAAGTTTACAGTTTATTCAGCATATTAAGTTGTTGATTTGTTTCATTTTTATTTTTATTTTAATTTGTCTATACTCTTCTTTTGAAATTTACATAATAGATTCAGATAAAAGTAAAAATTAGTAAAGTGTAGTTCGCTTATTTTGTTAAATATCGATTGGAAAAACGCTTCTTAATTCTGTCCTTATTGTTGTTTTTCAAAAACTGCGAATTCAGGCTCTAGAAAATTTTGTTCTCACCTCAAATAATAAAATGCATTCATTAACCCCAATAGTCCCATTACCATTTGTTAAAATTATCGAAGAAAATTTTTTATTGATGTAGGTATCAAATTGTATTAATTTAGGTATCAAGGATCCAAATCCAGCTCTTGGCCATTTTGCGCCATTAAGCATGTAGTACAGCGTAATTTTCCAAGTTACATGCTCATGTGGTGTTTTGCAATAAGCCCATTAGGACTTCTCAGGGCATATAAGATAAACAATATTAAAAAAGTAAGTATATCCATCCAAGGCCGGCGCGAAAAAGAGTGTGGAACACCCCCCTTACCTCCTCACCTAATCAGTTTTTCGTTCATTTAGTCAATACATTTGACTATTTTAGACCAGTTAGTCGGAAAATTTTAAAAAACAAGGAACTTTCTTTTTTAATTACAAAAAATTATCCTCTTTATCCGCTACGTGTCACCTACTCGCTCGGCCTATTTTTTTAATACTTAGTTACAGGCAAATAGGCTGACGCTCATTAATTAAACCTCCTCTTTTTTTCAACACCCCTCAAGAAATATTCTGGATCCGCCCCTGTTATATATATATATATATACAAGACAAAAAAAAAAAAAAAAAAAGGTCCTCGTTTTCCAAAATTTGCCGACTGCCATTACGACATTTGCCGACTGTCTAACCTATATCGAAAGGGTCAACATTTGCCGACTAACTAGTCTAAAAAGGCCTGATTTGCCGACTAAGGGTCCAGTTTGCCGACTAAAAACCATTGATGAGGGGGTGTCACACCCCCCACACACCCCTATCGCGCCGGCCTTGTATATATATATATACATATATATATACATATATATATATATATATATATATATATATATATATATATATATATATATACATATATATATATACATATATATATATATATATATATATATATATATATATATATATATCAAAAAGCATAGGAATTTTGTACAAAGCAAGGAGTTTTTTAAATAAACATACATTACTTAAACTATATTATTCGCTCATTCATTGTCACATAAACTATGCGAACATTGCGTGGGGTAGTACTAATAAAAGTAAACTGGAACCTCTTTATCGTCAACAAAAACATGTTGCACGCCTTATTAATTTTAAGGATCAATTTACTCATGCCAAGCCTCTATTAATTAAAATGAAAGTTTTACTTAAACTATATTATTCGCTCATTCATTGTCACATAAACTATGCGAACATTGCGTGGGGTAGTACTAATAAAAGTAAACTGGAACCTCTTTATCGTCAACAAAAACATGTTGCACGCCTTATTAATTTTAAGGATCAATTTACTCATGCCAAGCCTCTATTAATTAAAATGAAAGTTTTAATATATATGAGCTTAATATTTTTAACGTTATATGCTTTATGTTTAAATGTAAAAACAATATTTCTCCTCTACCTTTTCATAATTTGTATAACAAAAAAGAAAAAACTAAGTACATTTTACGAAATGATAATGACATTCGTCAATCAGCTTATCAAAATAATTCTGGAAAATACTGTATTTCATTTCGAGGAGCATTACTTTGGAATAAAATAGTTTTAAAGAATTTCGACTTTTCTCAAGAAGTTAGCTATCGCTCTTTCAAACAAAAACTTAAAAAAGTCATTTTTTTATTAGATGATATATCTATATTCTTTTAATTTTTTGTTTTTTTTTTAACTGTATAACAAAACCTATAACAAAAAGTTTAACAATTTTGTTAAAGGTAACTTAAAACTGTATAACGCATCTATGTATTTATAACAGAACCCTTTTTCTTTTTCTTTTTTTCTTTAAATTTGTTAATGTTTTCAATTCTTAATTCTTAATTATTTGTTATCTTCAAGTATGTTAAGTATATATTCTTATTGAAAGTTTATTTATTTTGAGAATGATACAAAATACTAACATGTAAATTTTTTAGCGGTTCTCGACGACAAGACCTTACGGTCTACTACGAGTTCCCGCGTTCTTTTATTTCTTAATAACGATCATGTATATATATACATTGTTAACGAATATTTATTAAATCACAAAGTTGTAAAATTAAAGAACAAATATATATATATATATATATATATATATATATATATATATATATATATATATATATATATATATATATATATATATATATATATATATATATATATATATATATATATATATATATATATATATATATATATATTTATATTTTTGTATATCCCCTTTTTACTCTCTATTAATCAAAACACTTTAAAAAGTTTATATATATACTAAGACTTTTATACAATTTTTTTTGGATATATAGTATATACATCAGATTTAAATAACTTCAACAGAATTTTCTGTAAAGAAAAAAATTGTAATTACCTTGTTTTTTTACCAATATTACGAGAATTTATTACATTTATATTTGCGATTCTCGATGACAAGATCTAACGGTCTTCTACAAGTCACCGCCATCTTTTATTTTTTATCAATATAATTTTATAAATTTTTTATTGTCATTTACTTTTTTATTCTTGTAATCTTGTAAACTTTATATTTTATAACAATATGTTGTTTAAAATTCAATAAAGAACTATTTATAAGAAAAAATACCCAATACCGGAGTGAAGTGCTGGATCAAGGAAGGGGGGCTAGGGGGCCTACAGCCCAAGACCACGCAAATTTAGAAGCCTCCAAAAATTTTTGAAAAAATTTTACCTTTTTTTTTTAAGTCATTTTTAGGCTCTGGCCCATAAATAGGCTTCCAAAAACAAAAATAGCCCCGGGCCCCAAGAAGTCTTAATCTGCCACTGCCGGGGTGAATTGGAAAGTATGGTTGCTGTCAATTTTGCCCAGAACTCTTAAAAGAAACGGAAGTTGATCCAGTTTTTTACTCGGAAGAATGCCTTGGAACATTTCTGCTTCCTGAAAAAAACGGAAATGGGTCTCACTTTGTTATTCCTCAAGTTGAGGGAAATTACTTTTTCACTTCTCAAATAATATAGATCAACCATCTCTTGAGCGTAGAAATGTTTTGTAAATTAATAATTTCAATGTAGGCTCCATGAATTGGTTACAATTTCTATTTTGCTAATACCAGAAACAGTAGTACTTGTATCAATATTTTTTTAGTACTAAGAAAATACTGCGCTTAGGTTTTATTTTAGTTTCACACCAAATAATAATGTATTAAATAAACGGTACACATTTTTATACTTTAAAAATTTAAATTGACGATTTTTATTGTTAACTTTAGTTCATTATGTGCTACTGTGCCGAATTTATGTTTTACTTGAAGAATGTCTTAAATTTTTCACTTTTTAATTAGGTGGAATCATTATTCGAACACTGCTAATTTTCCTATAGAGTGTTTATTATAAAATTGTATAGAGACACTAAAATTTAGTTTAAGGTACTACCTATTACCATAAAAAAGTTCAATTAATTGCCATTCTTTATGGCAAGGAAAACGAATAATTTTAAACCAACAGTTTGGGACAAGATGATGGGGACAAGTTGGCAAGCTCGTCATCTTGCCACGTGTTTTTGGAACTTGTTAAACTAACCATGATTATGATCTAAAAACTGTTGTGAAAAAAATGAAAGTGTGAGGATAAATTTGAACAGATTTTAGGAAAAATATTAAATTGAACCTAGTAACTAATTGTCCTATCTTCTTAGTTTAAATCTTGTTATTAAATCTGTATTTAATATTTTACTCTAAATTTACTTTAAAATATTTTTACTCTAAATTTTATTTCAGGAGATGCCGGTTCATGGAAAAAAATTTAGAAAAGTCTTTAATGCTGCACAGCAGGAAGATATAAAATCTTACATAACAGCAATGAACAAAATATGTTTTTCGGATTATCAAAGAAACAGTGTAGAAGACTAACTTTTAACTTTGCTGAGAAAAATGGTATTTCGCACCCGTTTAACAAGGAAACAAAGATTGAAGGAAAATATTGTCCGGCTAATTTTACAAAAAAAAAATAAATTTAGTGTACACAAACCAGAAGCAACATTAATTGCCAGAGCATTGGATTTCAATAAACCAAGCGTAGACAAGTTTTTCAACATTTTAAGGGAGCAACAGAAAAATATAAATTGTCTGCTTTTTCAATCTGCAATACAGATGAGTCAGGTCTGTCCACTGTGCCTAATAAGCTACCCATAATTCTCAGTCCAACTGAATCTAGAAGAGATTCAACTATTGTTTCAGGAGAAAGAGGAAGAAATGTAATTATAACTTTTTGAATTAGAGCTACTGGTTTTTACCTGCAACCTTTTCTGATTTTTGCCAAAAAACAAATGTTTCCTGAACTTGTAGAAAGAGCCCCACCAAGAACTGTAGGCCACTATACGGGATAACGGCTTTAGCAATAATAAAACCTTTTTAATTATTTTTGAGCACTTTTATCTAGAGGTGAAACGACGCAAAGAATCTCCTGCTTTATTAATCATTGATAATAACAAAATTTACATAACTTTGAAGACTATATTATATTGCAGAAATAAAAACGTCACTATAATTGCGTTGCCGCCCTATAAATCACATTGTCTCTAGCCCCTTCATGTGTCGTTTTTTGGCCAATTAAAGACCTATTATAGCAAAGTATGCAACAACTTTATGGTCACTTATCCAGTACAACCGATCACATACTAAAATATTGGTGATCTTTTTTTTTTTCAACATCTTTACTTCCAACGAATGTAACTGGAACATTTTATTCGAATGTAACTGGAAGAGAAAAGATGATATTTATAGAACAAGACACCGATTAACAGACAACATTAAAAGATTTAAAATTATATAAATCAGAAAATAAGATGAAAAAAATTCCAAAAGACTGATGTTTGAGGAAAAAAACTAGACGAATAAGAATTTATGGAATATATAGGAACAGTCACAGGATGAGACTGAATGACGAGTGTACCTAAAGTGTACCAGTAATGTTACCAGTGGTCCTAAATATTACCAGAAAATGTTACCAGCGCATCTATTGTGCAATAGTTGCACCTAAGGTGCACTGGTAAAATTCAAAACTAACTAAAATGCAAAACAGCCACACAGTTAGACAAAAGCTACATTTACTCTAAAACAACAAATTATTACTAAAGTTTTTATTATACAAGTTATAAAAAGCTGCAGTTCTGAGAATCAAAGTTA